GTCTGTCTGTCTGTCTGTCTGTCTGTCTGTCTGTCTGTCTGTCTGTCTGTCTGTCTGTCTGTCTGTCTGTCTGTCTGTCCGATATGCCGTTAAGTTAGCAGTCGATAAGAAGTTGGAATAAAGATAGACATTACCAATCTGTACTATAATCATTAACATACATGTAACCAATTCAACTTTATTTTTTTTTGCAAAGGTGTCTTCCTTGATAAACATTTTATTGTTGTTTACAGTTCTGATTAATGGAAGTGTTATCACAGTGTTAGTACCCAGTTAACATGATGCGATAAATTGATTTGATTGAAAACGATTTTATGGCAGGTATCTGTTAATGGTCTTATCGTTACCATTAGATTAAAGCTGATAATATACATATATATCACGACTACGTGTCTACTAGCATACATTAACGAACACTTGTTCAGGGCACAGTCCGGGATAGAGGGACTGTGTTCAGGGCTAGGCATGGTTCGCATACTATTATTTTTGCCTATTTTGCTTGCCAAGCCGTGATACCGGCTATTGTCGATGTATTGGTGCATGAACCCACTATTTTCTTTTTTATACATCACATCATATTACATTGCCCGGCATCGCATCGCATTGCATCGCATCACATCACATTACATCGCATCGCGTTGCTTTGCATTACATCGCATCAAATCTTATTTCATAGCCATAGCATCTCATTACATTACATCAACGCCGTAATAGTGTCACATTACATCGCATCTTAAACACCACATCGCATTGCATCATTACATCAAAATGTAATAAGTGATAATAATAAGAACTATTTCACCGCATCTAATACATCGCATCATACTTCAACATCCGCTGACATTAGTGTGATATTTATTCTGAGATAAATAACATTAAAGCGCGGTGGTCGTCGCGCAGCGCGTGTTCGAAATTCATGTAAATAAACAGTGTATTTTACACGCGTTGTATACGTCGCTATGAGTCCCATATCAAACAGGACGCGGCACGACGACTACCGCCCTTTAACAACCCTTGAAATGTACATCATTGGCAAGTTACTTGGTGTCACTCAGGGTCTTTGCAGTACGCCATCGTAAACTGAAAAGCAGCAATGAGAACTGCAATTGTATTCTTCATTCCTGTTAGAATGTTACACTGCTGTGAATAAAGTTAACATTTTCGGGTGCGTGCAGATGCATATAGACGTTTTAGAGCATTGGGAACAGATAATTCAAGGTCACGAACACGAATTAACATTGCAACAGATCGAAACAATTTTCTTAATTTACTTTCTGTTTTTGCGAGTGAAGTTTTCCCGTCGTTCCTGAAACGCGTATTGAGTAATGGATAAAAATGAAAGCCTATACCTGGACGACAGCCTGAAAAAAAAAAAAAAAAACAGTCCACGAAGGTTTGTTCGTGTGTTACATCAGTTGAACAAGTAAAACCGTACAAGATGGAATAAATCAGAAAATAATACTTCGTTTAAAAATGCATTACCAAAACAAGGCAAAGTCATCTACATACAACCACGAATATATTAGCTTCTTTTTAATGAAATCCATTTACAATGATATTGCAATATATGTTTTGTTTTGATAAAAGTGAAAAATACGTTACCACACAAGGGTCTGCTGATGAAATATGTTATGCTCTATAAATACGACTAATTCCCTAAGTTATAATTTGATTATCAAACAATGTATCACTTATGACCAATATATGTTAAATACGTCATTTACATATAACCACGTGTATATTAGCCTCCAAATGATGGATTGATAGAAATGTCACTATCCTGAGGTCAAGGGATATGTACTTTACAGGACAGGACTCTTGTTCGACGCTATCATTATGAGACTGGTTGCATGTCCCTATTTGCAACAGCTCTTGATATATTACAAATTTACACAATAATGAGATCACGTCTCTTATCTGATATAGCGGCCGAGATATTACAGTTTTACAAATCAATGATGTAATATGACCATATATGGTCATCTGATAGATTAATCTCATCTCTCGTCCGATTTTATCTTTATATAATACGGTTGCATGTTCCTGTCTGTAACAGTTCTAGAGACATTACAGATATGCATATTGTGATGTCACCTGACCCCCTCCACCCGATCACCACATGACATACAAAAAAAAAAAAAAACAATAATTCAAATTGAAAATAACACTTTTTCATAAAAACGACGATGACCAAAGTACTTGACTTTCACGGGGTAGACTGTGCTAGTAGAATAGATAACACATGCTAAATTTTACGTCGATTGGAAATTATAAAATCCAAGATGGCTGCCAAATCACGGACAAAATTTAAAAAAAGTCATTTAGAAGAGATTCACGTTAATTCAACTAGCGGTTATGAACCAGTTGATGCTTGAATGTCTTACGATTTTTTATTTGAATATTACAACACGAATAATCAAAACTGGCTCGGTCACTTTGTAGAGTAGAACAAAGGGAGTGTACACCTAAATTTTCAGGCCAAATGGTACAGCCGTTTACAAAAAGAAGTCATTTGTAAAAAAAAACGGCGGAAGGAGAATCACACGAAAAAGAAAAATTAACAATAACATTAGGATTTCAAGCCTAGCAAGCCTGATATATTGTAATAATTTATATAGAATTTAAATTAATTTTTGTCACAACTTGTCATAATTCAAATTAATTTGTTATTTATATATAAAATAATTGTCATAATTCTATTTCAGTGTTTGTTATTGTCATAAATCCAATTAAGGTTTTGTTGTAATGTATTGTCATAATTTTCTATTTACATAGTGCCATATTTCCAATCCAGTGTCTGTTGCCATATACATTTTCATAATTCCAATTAAGTTCCTGTTGTCACATATTATCATAATTCCAATTCATTTATTGTAATATATATAGCCATAATTACAATTCCTTTTTTTAAATACAAAGGGTGGGCGGTCGAGAACTATACCATGTGTTGACAAAACTAATTACACAAAAACAAATTAGCAGTGCATGTTATTTATTGTTCTAGCATCGCATAGTATTACAGCACGCTGCCACTAAGTCGGGCAAACTAGCGACCTAGTTATTTTTGTCGAATTATACCGCTAGGGACATGATAACACTTAATCAGAGCATCAGTCCATGCCCCTGTCTATAATGTTTAACTTTATTAACCACAATAGCGCTGACATCACAGTCGTACCGAAGAACCATAACGCATCATCTCCGGGCCAACTTCCCCAACTGTAAACATCAACGTTATACTCTTGTATTGGACTTAAGCGTCTCGTCGTTTACTGTAACAGTTCACGATCAGCAGAAACCTTTTTAAAAACCGGCTTCCCCGAGTCGCACCGCTCTAAAGTCCCCTGTTGGTGATCAACAGAACGTCCGATATGTGAACGCAGATACGAAGGTGAGTTAGTGTTATTTATTTCAACTTCATTTTGCGGGTTGTGTTCTGTGATTAATCTATACCGCGCTGGACACCGGGAAACTGACAACTCTGCCATCATGTTGCATTTCACTGTGAACTATTCACCTGATCAGCAGCGTTTAATGCGAGACGATGTGTAGGCGAGTGTCACTCAGTGCCTATCGCGTGTATACATCACATGACTGACCCGATGTAATTTATTACTGGCGAAGGTAATATTTCATAACAGTATTTCCTCGGTGTGTTTTGCAATATATTACGATACTTCATATCTGTCAACAAATATGTCAGCCATACATCATAACGTGATCAAACGTAACATATGAAAAAGCAATGCACAGTGTGTTACCTTGTGATTGTGAGGTCTATCAATCAACAACAACAACAACAACAAGTAATTAACGTTGCCATTTACAAGAAGAAAAATACAAAATTAAATCGGATTGTTAAAAATAAAATCAACATATGTGGTATTATTTATGACGAATTTGGAATATTCGGGAAAAGACAATAGCGTACTTACTAAGAACTTGTGGGTGTTATCTTACAGTGCCAGAATAAGGCTGGTACCGACCTTTGACCCGTGGGCCATCATGTACGTGTCTATATATGCGACTGCCATTGCTTGGCAAGGTTTGACCACAATCAGTGATTGTTCTTATTTATTCAAAAAAAAACAAGATTTATCAAAATGACTTAGCTATCAACGGGACCACTTTCTCGCGTAGTTGCGAAGTGCTGTTTTGCGACATGGCAACAAATCATAATTTATTCTATAAAATAATGATAATAATAATAATAATTAAAAAAAAAAAAAAACGTTATAACGCTATTATCGCGAAATTTATCATAGAAGAATAGTCGCACTTAGAAAAGATGTAGTGAAACTTGTACATCACGCAGTGTGTCAAAAAATATTCTTGATTTGTTTCTTTTTGCTCCTACCAGCTAGTTCCCGTATATTGGTCAATGAGTGTTTTATTAAAAGCTACCAGGCTTACAACGCGTTGAAACATTTTGACTATCGGAAGATATACTCAAGACACATTGAAATCGGTAAGATGTCTGGTTATGAACTTTTTTTCGTTGTGTCGGCTATTTCACCACAATGTCCGTGAACATTCGATATTTACATGTGTAGATATCGGGCCTCGGCACTAAGTGTGTTAAGCCGCGACGTCTCTTCCTCGAACCATTATTGATGATTACAACAATCATACATATTCCCCACTAGTCCTGAACAAGAATTAACTACTAGTGGCTAATCGAGAGACAGAGAGGTCGCCGTGACGATCCCCACCTCCCCCTATCTAACCTGCTAGAATGTAGATACGTCGGAATTTTCGCTGTTGAACGTAACAGGCGGGGATGGGTACATTATACAGCATTGCTACTCAGTCTATAGAAGCGATGGCACATCAAGAATAAACGATAAGTATAAACGATATGAACATCGTAAAACCAGGTTATCTATCAACTACCATGGTTATTATTAATTCATTGCAACATTATGTGTGCTTAGTACCAGGTGCTGTGTAAATCTTCATTAGAACGTATGCACTAGTGGTAGCTCACGGACTGCTCCTTGATGGAGTTTAAAAACTACTGGGTTACGGAGTTCCTTGTTATACTCATAATTTTAACGTGTGATATCTCACAGATCGCCAATGGCATTGAAACAGGTAAGAACATTGCATAGCGTGAATTCGTGTAGCTTTACGTAAAACCTATTCCTGTTTCTTATTTTTAAATTTTTCTTTTTATTTATAAAATAGAACATTTCTGTGAACCACCAAGTTTTTTTTTAACTTAAACTATTTTGAAAATGAACTGAAACTAATTTTTTTTTTCGATTTTATCTTTTAAATATTTATGCAAAAGTGTTGTTTTTGTTACTTTTTATTCGCAGAGTTATTGTGTGGCTCCGTACGTTTTACCGGTAATAGCGAGGACAAGATCGAAGGGAACTTAACGTCTCCGAATTTTCCCAGGTCCTTCCCAGATGATGTTTACAACTGTTCCTACACCCTTGTAAATACTGCAGGTGGATACATTAATTTGCTGTTCACAGACTTTATATTGGACGACATTAGAGAAGAAGACTGGGATTGCAAAAACAGTATTACAGTAAGCATGACCTGCCTTTCTTGCAATACGTGTATATTTCATTTGGTAGTGCTCGAGCTCAATCCACGCAGCCGAAACATTTTCCCTGTTCTATTGAACTAAGATGGTAAAAACCCATGCCATTGTGCATATTGATAAAACAATATTCGGACTCTTTCATGAAAACAAGCAGATATTCAATGGAACTATTTTCTGGGGGATGCCTAATTTTAGATAACTGCGGTGAAATGACTAAAGTGTAAGGACCACGACGTAAGGATCTATATACTTGGTCTACGGGCTACGGTGACGTAACTGAATAAATTCATTGCGCAATCGCAATGTCTTTTTGAAAGGTTTTTAAATGCACGAAGCATTGGCATTCCATTGATTGGCAATTCAATTCTACATACAGTCTAACAGTAGATATTTTACAGGAATCCTATAAAGCAAAGTAGTCAGTTCTCAAAATATATTGAATAAAATTCAAAACCCACAAATTATCATTTATTCAAGTAGTAGTGGTTAGAACGCTATAAAGTCAATAAATCGGTTGAATTTGTTTTATCTTGCGTGGTCTTTCTGAAATTATAAAAAGAACTTATTCCCATGTTTTAAATTAGTCAAAAAAATATCAGAAATTTCAAGAATATATATATATATATATATATATATATATATATATATATATATATATATATATATATATATATATATATATATATATATAAACAATAACATTTGCAATTCCTCGTTCTATAGGACGGCGTTATGTCGAGCACTCACCATTCCTGACTGGATTACAGAGACTACCAGACTCTCACGCAATCCGTAACATCTTAACTTTTTTTCATGACTGCATTTTAATGACAAAATATATGAAAAAACAACAACAACATATACTGTAGGTTCGTTTGTTGACCACAAACATCTTGTTCAACATGTGGCATGATTGAAATTATCTACACGAGATTTTAAAAACGAAAATGCGCCGCCTGACCTTTAAAATGCAGAAATAAAAGACTTAACAAATTTCATGTATGAGTGACCATATTTCAAGGCTTTTTGTAAGGCATACATGTTTTATAGTTGTATTGTTTGGGGGGGGGGGGCATCAACGATTATATAACAACAATAAACTGCTGGTAACATATATACTGTCATGATATTGTGTTTCTCCCAAATAAACAAACGAACCCATCGACTTACCTTGTATCATTCTTGTTTTTAAGTTACAGGATGGTGTGAACGAACCAAGAATTCAAAAATTTTGTGGAAACGTTAGACCACCGGCGATTATATCATACGGAAGTTTGGTGAAAATCGACTTTATAGTGACCACTAATAACGCCGCTGCCACAGGCTTTAAAGTAAATTACTCGTTCGTCGAGTCCGCTATGTGGCCTGACAAACCTATAGGTAGGTAGTGGAATGTTCGCTCGCAAAAAAAACAAACATGTATTTTACTTCATAACGCATACAATTCATCGAAAGAAATTCAAATTGATAAAATAAAATACAGAACTCAGATACTAACATCGAAAATAACATCGAAACATACTGCGGATGACCACGCGAGCAGCACCAACAATAAAATCTATAAATTAGTAAAGTTGAATCGATCTGCTGCTGTCTTTGTTAAAAACTGTTATTAATAATTTTCAAGTTGGCCATTATGATATTATGGATAGGAATGTGTTTGATTTTCGTTTGTAAAATTAGAAAA